TGCTGGGCTCAGAGTGACGCAATAGTTGGCAGGGGAGCACACTATTGATTTAGCAGTATGCCGCAGTGAACGTGTTAAGAAACAAAACCAATTGTCAATCAAATAACTAGAATGATGAGACTAACATTCACTGAGTTGCCCTATTTCTTTCCTAATTGAAAACCAACTTCTGACATAACAAAGGATGTCTAACATAAACATAATCTAAGGCTTTTCTTACAATCCTATATGTCCTAGGTTTCTACGTTGAAACGTTATGGTCAGTCCTCTGTCTCAATATCTCATGTAAGAGATGGAAAACTAAAAGTTTAGCTAACCTATGAGACAAACGACAGACGATAACGTTTCGATGTAGCAACCTAGGTCTCCACTATAAAACAAATTGGATCGTAAGGTAAGCATTCGATTTTAATTCAATTCAATGTTTTACTATGTTCAATAACTATCCTGAGGCTATGTCTCCAAATAACACCAGTCTCATTACTTTCTAAATCGACATATTTCTTCTAGTATTACTCAGTTGTAAAACCATTGTTAATGCTAAATTTATGTTACATTTTCACTCCAAAACTTAGTAAATAACAATAACACAATCAATCGGCAATTGAATACCTCAAGATATAAATATAAATGGCACATAAATAACAGAGGTAATGTAAATTTTAGGTAGACAATGAATTCATATTTAAAAATAAATTTATTATACTACATTCATGTATATACTAACAGAATTCTCATCCCAATGTAATTTCGAAGCTCGTTTTTAGTGTCTAGTTCTTTTTTTTAAAGAGATTGGCGGCCTCTTTTAACCTTGCATTTGCCCGTCCACATAGACTACGGATTTGTGCGTGGAACGTCCAGCAAAGCAAGGGGTGAGTCGGTACATTAAGAAGGTGAACTGTACTGATAAAATGTTAGCGGCAGTGACCAGGATCCGAACCCACGTCACTACTGCCATGGGCCCGAAGTCCGTGACACTACCAACTGAGCCACTGACTCCCTAGTTCATGTCTTGTGACACTGGTGACTCTAGGGGCGACGAAATTTTGTTTCTTTATTTTTGGGTTAATTTGATGATTTGTGTTTACTGTTTGATTATATCACTAGGGGACAAGTTATTGTTGACGATTAGATCGTTTTATTTGGTTAAACGAGATTTTTAAATGACTGAAATAACAATAAAAAAATTGTAAACAAAACACGACCTCAGTGAACCAGACAGAACTATAAAATTTGCTTTAATCAGCTGTTTCATAAAGATGAGATATCTACTGTGTATGTTTTATCTGTGATACTAACTACCCGTAACACAAAACTTAGAACGTAGAATTTTTACAATGCATTCATGAACAAGTTGTCATTGATAATTTTTTCATTTCTATGATTCTGGATAACGAATCAGCTATTCTTTCTCATCAAATAAAGTATGACCATAATCTAACTTTGTTCCTTGCATAATTTAATTAGTTTTCCTGCTTACCTAAATGCTTTAACAAATTGACTTATCCAACAAAAACATTCTATCAAAATGGACATTGTTAAGAGTTCACACAATTAAAACTCACACTAAATTCAGAATTCCAATAGAAAATCTACTCACTAGTGCACAAATTCACTTTCTTGAACAAAAAAATCACACCTAACTACGTATAACATCTTTGACTATTGACATAAGTAGACATTCCTTTCCCATAGAAGATGTAGTCAGTTAAAAAAATCTATATATCTATACTTATTTAATACGCATTTACTTATTTAATACGAAAGCGGGTTTTTTGTGACAATTACTCCTCCGAAACTACTGAACCGATTCACATGTTTTTGGTGTCATTGGAAAGAGCGTAACGTGAAGTTGTGCAGGAACCTTTCTTTTTGGGGAAATAATTAGAGAGTGAGTCCCTGGGGCCCTTTAAAGTTTCGTATTTCTCCATAACATTAACATGGGAAACAAAAATTGTTATGAAACTCCAGCTGTTGTCAGAAATTAAAAGTGAGAAGAACATATGTTAACTGTAAACAGTCAATAAGTTTGCTAAATTTAACAGTTTGCTACAAACATTTACTGACTTGGTTAAAATGAAATATTTACTATTTGAATTTGGGTTGGCGCTAATATTACAATTAAAAAAGCGAGATAGCCTGGATAAATTGATATACTTAAACCCTAAAGCGGCTATGAGTAAGGCTATTTGTAGAAAACACTAAAAACTAGATAAGTTTTTGAAAAAAGATAAGATATTTACAAGAAATGTTGATTATATCGATCTGTAATGTACATCTTGAGTATTTCCATTATCTTTGTGTCGAATCTTTTAAAGTCATCAGAAATCATGGCTGTTATTTGCTTTAAAATAACGCCTGTAATACTTAGCAATTGCTCGAATTCAAACAACAGGGACACTAGCCCTTATTTAATACGCAAGCAGGTTTTTTGTGACAATTACTCCTCCGAAACTACTGAACCGATTGACATGTTTTTGGTGTCATTGGAAAGAGCGTAACATGAAGTTGTGCAGGAAACTTTCTTTTTAGGGAAATAATTAGAGAGTGAGTCCCTGGGGCCCTTTAAATTTTCGTATTTCTCCATAAGATTAACATGGGAAACAAAAATTGTTATGAAACTCCAGCTGTTGTCAGAAATTAAAAGTGAGAAGAACATATGTTAACTGTAAACAGTCAATAAGTTTGCTAAATTTAACAGTTTGCTACAAACGTTTACTGACTTGGTTAAAATGAAATATTTACTATTTGAATTTGGGTTGGCATAAATATTACAATGGAAAAAATGTGAGAGAGCCTGGATAATTTGATATACTAAAAGAAAACTGAATTAACACTGTGCTGAATTTCTTAGTAATCATTGAAAGAGCAGATTTAAGGAAACATAGGAAAGTCAAAGAACACTACAAAGGAGAAGAAATAGAGATAATGTTTTTTCTAGAACTTATAGTCATAATTATGGACAACCTAATGCGGCTATGAGTAAGGCTATTTGTAGAAAACACTTAACAACAAGATCAGCTTTTGAAAAATGATAAGATATTTTCAAGAAATAATGATTTTATCAATCTGTTATGTACATCATGAGTATTTCCATAATCTTTGAGACAATTCTTTAAAAGTCATCAGAAAGAAATTATGACTGTTATTCGTTTTAAAATAACGCCTGTAGTACTTTAGAAATAATAAAAGATAGAGCTACAAGACTTTGCACCAAGTTACTGAGCATTAAAATAATTTTAACACATTATTCAGTGATACAATAAGAATGTCATTCGCCTATTGGGTCCAATCAAAATCGATCACCACTTACCATGTTTTATGTGTATTTACCGTCTTGTGAGTAACAGTATAAGCGTAAATATATGTTTCAAGTGTTACCTCACGTTTCTTTTACTTACTTTCCGTAAAATTAATAAGACGTACAATGCTGATCAAGAAGTTCCTACTATCGTAACATAAATCCAAAGAGCCTAGGTCTAAGATGTACTTTATGTTACATCCTAAATCTCAAACATTAACACCACTTATCTACTTTGCACCATTTGAGTCACCCTGTATAATTAATTAACTACATGGTCTATACAGTAGTCCACCACTCAGCAGAACCTGAACACCACGTCGCCTTGCGGTGGTCGAGGTCGTCGCAGCGGAGCGTTGTGTGTCTGCACGTGGTGTTTCCGCAGGTACTCCTTGTTCTTGAACACGCGGTGGCACAAGTGGCAGGGCACGTGTTGTGCAGGTGTGTGCATGTTGCTGATGTGTTGCCGCAGGTTGCCGCTGTTGCTGAACACCTTGTTGCACAAGTAGCAACGTCGCGGCTGCATGCACTGCCACTCCCCCCGCACGCCGGGACCTGTCGACACAAGCGCGCACACCTGAGCCAACACTGGATTGCTAACTTTGTTACTTCTATGTCCCACTTTCTTATACTAGGACACTAGGATCTAGCCAAGAACTGTTTTCACATTACTAAGCTAAGCAAAGAGAGTTGCGGCATTATCACTTAGATATATTGGTGATTAGTAAGATTTGAACCTTGGACCTTAGGGACCAAAGTTCCACACTCTACCTCTAGACCAGCTTGATCCCCCAGCTACAGCTTAGCTCAAATTTTTACTGGATTAAACATTGTTTTCCGAGGAATCAACCTATGAGGTAATGTTTAAGGCAGAATTAAATCAAATATAATGGGCCAAGACTAATCTTGAGCTAAAAAATGTTCTACATTACATACTTTCAAAACTTAACACTTTCAACTGATGTGATGCTAAAAGTGTATAGGCAATTTTTTTATCCTATCAAAATAATTCACAAACTATTGAAAAAATATTCTTTGGGTATTTTGGGTACGGTACTAAATAAAAATATTGACGAACGTACACATATAAACTGATTAATTTACTAAATCAATAAATAAGGTTACCTTCGTCAATCAGCTCATAGAAGTTGAAACATTGTTACGGCGGTTTTTTGATTAATTTATTTCGTCAAGTTAACACCACACAAATCAATAGACCTACCTTTAATAAACCTACAATGCAAATATCAACCTGTACACAAGCAGTAAAGGAACTTAATAGTAATCTTCAGTAATAAAGTTAGCAATTCCAGTGATTTGATCAACTTTGCGCTCAGATTGCACACTTGTAGTCGACAAGTGCTTCGGCACTGATTCCACAAAAGTAGACGTATTCAACTAACAAGTAGTACATTCCTTAACATTGCAGCCATTAAACATAGAAATACGATAATGGTAAATAGCTCCAACATACTTCACCTGAATTGTAAAAACTACGATAAAAACCGTAGTTCTTACCTAAGTTCCCAGTCTTATTCTAATGGTTTACTAGAAATATTTTACCTCCTAACACAATATCAGTCCTAAGATGTTTTAAAACCCTTTTTTCACAAGAGGAAAACACCTAAATAACAAAGAACGTAAGTAAGTAGTAGACACAAAGTTCAATCACACAATAAGTTGCTGTAATGGTACTTACCAGTTGCAGTTATTTGTTCGGGTAAGTTGAGATTGGCAGGAAGAGTAGAACCTGAACCAGGTAGGGAGAATGGTGGAAAACCGCCTGTAAGAAAATGTGACACATGTTATATTGTTAACAACAGGTAAATTAAAGCAAAATACAGAATCAATCAAGATTTTACAGATTCAAAATTTCAAGGTCAAATTTTTTAAAGAAGTTCAAGACTTATGGTTACAAGAGGATGTAATCTAGCTCGTAGTGGACGAAGTTAAGATTCTTACCTTGAGTATCTAAAGAGTGAGACATGTTGACAGACACTAGAGATCGCTCCAGCAGTGTACTGTCAAGACTCGTGGTTACAAGGGGATGTAATCTAGCTCGTAGTGGATAAAGTTAAGATTCTTACCTTGAGTATCTAAAGAGTGAGACATGTTGACAGACACTAGAGATCGCTCCAGCAGTGTACTGTCAAGACTCGTGGTTACAAGGGGATGTAATCTAGCTCGTAGTGGATAAAGTTAAGATTCTTACCTTGAGTATCTAAAGAGTGAGACATGTTGACAGACACTAGAGATCGCTCCAGCAATGTACTGTCTTCTCTTCTAATTTCTCCATCTTCTCCGTTGTCACCTCCTGCGTTACTTTCATCACAATCTCCCTCCACTTCTCCCTCCATAGACGCGTCTTCTTCTCCCTGGCCCTCCGACAGAGCCTGTAGATATAAAGTTAATGTAAAATGACAATGACATTGCAAAAAATATATTACAGGAATCCCACGCAGAATTGAAAATGACACTCTCAGGATTTTCATTCTCATATTTGAACATTTTTACAAGTCCTTAGCGAAATTGTAGCAGCTTTGTTTTGAACCTCAAAGACAAAACAGGGTCGAGACACGAGTGTTATTTCACAATTGTTGCTGTAGGAAACTTTTAGGCACTAAAAGCTTCAGTGGCGTAGCACAAGCACTACAGGGTGTATACTATTTTATTAAAGTGAAATTCCAGGTTTTTTCCTGGTTTTTCGAAGTTTTTCCAGGTTCCCGCGTATTTGTTTGGTTCCACTTAAACTATAATCAAATTAAGACTTGCAGCCTAAGTATACAATGTAACCTTACATTAAATTTGTTTCAATGTCCAGTGAGCTAGTGTTGAAAAAGTAATAATCCTTATTATAGTAATAATTTTCATTATCATCATTACTTAAGTCCACAGAAACATCGTCTCTCCCGATAGCAGCAAAATTATTAATATTATCTTCATTTTTTATGAACAAATTATCAACGGCGGCTAAATCCTGAATATTTCCTGCGGTCGTGTGGTCGCTTCTCACGGTGACGTAAACGTCATCACAGTCTTACGTTACCATAGAAAAATCCTGGACATCTCCCGCGGTATGTATACATTATCGCCATCTCTCGCGATCACGAAAACTTAATCATCGTCATCCACGATCGCGGCAAAATCACGAAAATCTTCCGCGGCCATGTAGACATCATCTTTGATCCTGCGGTCACGAAAAAGTCCTCGTTGGTGTCCGCGATCGCGGCTAAATCATGAACATCTGCGGCCGTGTAGACAAAATCATCGTCGTCATTCGCGGTCACGGCAAATCACGAATATCTTCCGCGGCCGTGTGGACATCATCATAGCCTCTCGCAGATATGAAAACATCATCGCCGTCGTCCGCGATCTCGGTAAAATCATAAACATCTGCGGCCGTGTAGACATAATCATTGTCGTCTCCCGCGGTCACGGAAACGTCATCGTCTTCTCCCGCGGTCACGGAAACGTCATCGTCGTCTCCCGCGGTCACGAAAACGTCATCGTCGTCTCCCGCGGTCACGGAAACGTCATCGTCTTCTCCCGCGGTCACGGAAACGTCATCGTCTTCTCCCGCGGTCACGGAAACGTCATCGTCGTCTCCCGCAGTCACTGAAACGTCATCGTCCGCGATCTCGGTAAAATCATGAATATTTCCCGCGGCCGTGTCTACATCACCGTCGTCTCCCGCGGCCACGGAAACGTCATCGTCGTTTCCCGCGGTCACGGAAACGTCATCGTCGTTTCCCGCGGTCATGGAAACGTCATCGTCGTCGGCCGCAATCACGGCAAAATCATGAGTATTTCTCGCGGCCGTGTAGAAATCATCGTTGATTCCGCCGTAACGGAAACGTCATCGTCGTCTCCCGCGGTCACGGAAACGTCATCGTCGTCTCCCGCGGTCACGGAAACGTCATCTTCGTTTCCCGCGGTCACGGAAACGTCATTGTTGTCGGCCGCAATCACGGCAAAATCATGAACATATACGCGGCCGTGTAGAAATCATCATCGTCGTCATTCGCGGTCACGGCAAATCATGAAAATCTTCCGCGGCCGTGTAGACATCATCATTGCCTCCAGCGGTTAGGGAAACGTCATCGTCGTCGCCCGCAATCGCGGCAAGACGCATTTTACGACTACAATCTTCTACCGGGGCTAAAATAAAAATCCCGGATTCGGTCCAAAAATCCCGGCTTTTTCCAGGTCCCTTCAAATTCAAGGTTTTTTCCCGGTTCTCCCGGTTTTCCCGGTTGGTATACACCCTGCACTAGCACCAAATCTGCTAAAATGTCTGCACAATTCCCGATAGCGGAGGACTGTGGGAGATGATGACAGTATTTAAAGATTTGTGGTGTTGAGGATCAAAATTGGGCTTTCATGATTGTTAAACTTTGACTGCGGAATTCACAGCTTAATAAATGCAGATTTTTCATCGTTGACAAATTTAAAGGTTCATTGAAGTGTTTAATGTTGTCACTAGAGGTGACCAAGTCGCTTTATTATTGACACGAGCATTCTGATCGTTAAGGCTCTGATACCACGTCTGCGTCAACGGCAAAATAACAAAATCAGGCTTTTGCTACACAACGATTCTACTACTATTGTGGTTGACGATGCCTTCACGGCTACTTTTCAAAATTCAACTTTTCAAACTTTATCAATAAATATACAATTTGATATGATAATCACAAACTCACATTTCTGTTGTCGGCATCATCTGGCTTCTCCTGTTTCACAAGGTTTGCCAGATCGTGGTCCTCTTCTTCTCTCTGATTGTTGTCCGAGTCGTCTGGATCCTCGTTAGTTTTGCATATCCTCACTGGAGCCCCCTTTCTCCGTTTAGCCACTGGAGTAGTAGGTGGCGACACTGCGGGAAGTACTTTCCTCGGTGGCACTATTGGTTTGTTTGGCACAGTTGCTTTTTCGCTTAAGTTTTCATCCTGTCAAAATAGTACGGTAAATAAATATCTCAGAATAAATACTTTTGAAAAACGTTAACTAAAATAAAAGGTACCTAACAATTAATTGTTAACAAAAACAAGGTTTTCTTAGGGATCCTACCATTCCTTAGGACCCTACCAAGTAGCCTACTTTAGAAAAAATTTTATGTGTAAAATATAGTGAAGTAACATAGGCTATGCTACATTGGTAAATTTAGTGAAATTTTCTCATGCCAAGTCGGTAAAATATGACATAATATTCACAAATTACCACAAGATGGTATGCTTATACAAATTTTTAATTCAATTACTTTCAATATCATTTTAACAATAATATGTTTGGTTCTTACCCTCTACGCAATCAGGGGCGATACTTCACTACAGCCGTTTTGGAGATAACTCCATCGTCAGGTGCTTAGTGGTACACTAAACTATAGTCTTGTTACACCATTGTCAGGGGTTGAATGAATGTTAGACATGTAAAAACAGGACAAACACACGAAAACACGAATCCACGTAACTTCTGCAGTGACCAGGATTGAACAGTCGGTCATCAGATTTTAAACCGCGCAAGTGCTCTAAATGTTTTCGTGTATTCGTGTTTTCCTGTGTCCATTCTGTTTTTATATGCACAAATATTTGTTAGGGTTTAAACTGACTTTTTGTATACTATAAAGTGCATTATTATATTAAAACAAAAATTCTTTATATCAAGGTAAGTTAAGGTTTTGGAACATTTTGTCTACGTTGTAATAAATCATTTGAAATTCTGCTGATCTACACAACAAAAACATTTGGAAACTTTACAAGGCAATTTGGTTAGTTAGGCATGTACACTTCAAAGTGAGATGGGTAAGAACAGCCTCTGTTAGGGATTGAACTAGTTTACCTTAAGTGTATTCGCTGCTCCAGTCAGGCCTTTGATTTGTAGAAGCTCGGCAGTCTGAAGAAAAGAAGAAAGTTTCTTTTCTGACACATAAACTACGCCTTGATAGACAAAACTTAGAAGTGCTTCCACATCTTCACAACTGACGTCTTTCAGAATCACCACTGGATGTTCACATGGATTTTCCTGGAAAATCAGATAGAATTTTTTTTAAAGGCGTAACACTATATTTTAAACAAAATCCTGTTTTCACAATAAGCTTAGTATTACCAGGTAGACTGTGTTAGTCGTACTTTTCCAAATGGACATATCAATAGGCCTATAACTAGATATAACTTAGTAGGTAACCAAGTGATAATGTATGGAGTCAAGAAGCTTAAGTGAAGCCTATAGGAGTTTCAGGCACTTTAAAGACATTCTGAGAGTAGGCCAAGTGCTACACGTCTTTATAATAACTTAGTGAGCTCTAAACGAGTTTCACTTACCTTAAAGACATTGCGAAAGTAAGCGCTACATGCTGACAATATCACTTTGTGAGCTCGAAATTTCTGTCCATCGCAAGACAGTGTTACATCCACAAGGTGTTCTTCGCTTCTCAAAATATCCAATTCTGAAACCATGTTGCTTTGATAATTGTTCCATCGCAGGCAAAAATGATCGGCAGCCATTCTGTAAAAAATGCATCAGATTAATTTTTACTGCATTATTTTCACTGAAAAAAATCTAGCCTAAGTTAGTTTCATGTGACATAACGATAAGTTAGCCTATATGTTAGTCATTGGTGACGTTGGTAATAACAGTGCCTATGGATGGACGTAGTTGAATGTGGTGTGCATAAAAACTTTATTCTTATTTGTTAGCAGTGATTTATAACAGCTTTCAGTACATTACATAGTTATATTAGTATATTTTCTTAAATATTGAACCAGCTAACAAGATCCGTAAGTTAACAAAATGATTTTACAGCTCAATATTAGATTTAACCTCATCAGGAAAAACTAAAATAGGCTTGATCATTCACCAAATTAGTCCCAGTGCGCATCTACCTATGCGCCGCAGCCAACTGTAGATAGTGAAATATCACTAGCTGTTGGACTTAGTGACAAAGTGAATGCCTGTGCCATCTGTTAGGCATCACTAGAACTACGGCTGGTGAGGGGGCTACGCCTGCAACTACCCCAATGCAACCCGCCATCCATCAATGCACTGCATGTCTTCGACCCAAATAATGAAGGGACTTCTATAATCTGTCCTAGTTAGACATTTAAACGAACATATTCAAAAACAAGTTTTTTTGTCCCGACTTTGCTGGATTACATTTTTTATGTATTTATTCTTTTAAATACAAAATGTTAAATAGTGGATGTGAGACTATTTTTGAATCAGATGTGACTCGGGATTCTGCCATAGAAGAACTTGTTTTTAATTTGACACAAGAACTAAATAAACTTACATGTAATTATCCTGACACCAATTTTGAAATAATGACAAGTATAGTATCAGAGTTACTTTGTAATTTTGACTCTATCAATGAAGAGTTAGACAAAAGTGTCTCAGCACTGGAATTCTCAAAACATGATCTTGATGTTTTGTCTAACAAACTTGAGCTAGACAAACAGCAGAGGGAGAAGGAGTTGAACGTCAGCCTCGCAGCGCAAGACGTCCTCGAAGAAGAAAAACGTTCTCTCGAGCTTCAACTTCAATCCTTGAAATCCACACTCATCGAACGAGATGCCGAGAAAGCCAGCGTGATTCACGAAAACATTGTTCTATCGGATAAACTTAAAACTATTAATACCAAGGTTAACAGCTTAAAATCAAGCAATGTAAAGATGTGTAACACTGTTCGAGATTTAAGGTGTAAACTAGATGTAGCTACTGCCAACAGTCTCTCTAAAATCCCTGTTGAATTTAAGTCTCATGACAAGTGGGTAGAGGATGACATCATAAACTCATATTTTGTCACAATGCCAGAGTGTGTAGATATAGACACACTCTTTTTTGGGCCGGCTACCACTCAATGTTTAAAGCTTGCTGTTTCTCAGGAAACGGTAATCGATATATTGTCCAAATCACCTTTTTATTCTTGTAAATATGCATTTTTGTGTGTTAACAATAGTGAGGAAACGAAAAGTAGTTCTTCAGGTTCTCACTGGTCTTTATTATTTGTCGATAGAAACAGTAATGAGGCTTTTCATTTTGATTCTCTAACAGGTGTAAATGGAAAGTCTGCAAAAACACTTGCTTCACGCCTCGGTGTACCTAGTGATAGTTTCTTTGATATGAACTGCTTTCAACAGAAAAATGGGTTTGAGTGTGGGATAAATGTAATTGTAAATGCTAAGTTCATCTTACATTTCTACTGTATTCCTAGAATTTCTAGTTCTTTCAGAGACTGGTATGGCAATGAAAACAATAAGCCTACTCATGAGCATTTGTTGCGGACTAATATAGATCAGACAGTTTCAAGAGATGCCATTACTGTGACTCCTGGGAAATTAGTGAAGTCTGTTGAACATGGTAAATGGAAACTTGTGAAGGGAAATATAAAAAACAAAAATAACCGGATGAAATCGCCTCAAAATGAACAGTCTAAGGTAGTCCACAAGGTTGTGTGTGGTAATAGATTTGAGGTACTTTCTGTTGACAATGATGATAAGGAACAGCCTAACTCTACTAAATTAGTCTCTGCTAAGTCAGTCAGAAGTTTGGATATTCAAAATTCAAACAAACCTATCAATGTAGACCATGATAGGCCTTGTAGCATAAAATCTAATGTTAAGGTCAAATTAGCAAACACTAGTTGTAAGACTGATTCCTCTAACTGTCGACTAGCTGCTTCCAAACACCACCTTGTATCTTCTAAAAAACCTCTCAAGCTGTTTAGCGACAGCCACGGGAGATCGCTCTTGCCTCTATTGACAGAGAAGTTTGGAACCGAATTTAATTCGTTTGCTCATGTGATACCAAATGGTAAGATGTGTCACATTTTGGAGGCAGCTGGACGTTCGTTGCAGGATGATGGTCAGGTAGGGTACACCGTCATAATGGCAGGAACCAATGATATTTCAAACGAGTCTGACATAAGTCATATTTCCAAACAGATAGATGATGTTTTATCAACTTACAGTAAGCCTCAAATACTTGTGATGGCTGTGCCCATCAGATATGACTTGCCACTCTTAAACAATGTTATAGTCAATGTAAACGAACAACTTGCCAGTGTATGTTCTAAACATAGTAATGCGACATTCGTACCCTTGTTTGTACATAGAGGTCATTTCACCAGACATGGGCTGCACTTTAATCATGTGGGCAAACGCAGAATTGTTAGTTTGCTCGGCAACATTATGCTGAAACAAAGAGATCCCTTGTTGCAAAAAACTCGCACTAAAAACTTAATTGGTGTTAAAAATGATAGTGTTTTGGTCTCAAACTCCTCTCTCCCAAAAATGTCTTCATCAGTCAGCATTTCTCCACGTCCCTACAGCACTAGAGTATTTTATAGTACACGATATTCTTCCAAATCTGGGTTGCTTCCTAACGAAGACCGTACTTTTTTAGGATTAGGCAGGAGAAAGCTTCAGAGCAGAGGGTAGCAAGAAAAACTTCTAACTTAGGCCCTAAATCCTCTATTTCAGTTTTCCACCAAAACATCTGCGGTGTTAGGACAAACAAAGAACTTCTAGAAATCCATTTAGAAAGTGAAGCCCCTGACATCTTATGCCTGTCAGAGCATAATCTGACACAAGATCAGTTCAATTGCTTTTCTTTGCTGGAATACACAAACATCGCGGCTTTCTGCTGTCAATCTCGTCAAAGAGGTGGAGTCTGCTTGCTAGCAAGAAGGGGTATTCAGATTATTGATGTGGATGTGTCCCGGTTTTGCTCTGAGGTTTCTTGTCATCTAGCGGCGTCCAAAATTGTGTTATCGAACCATGACGCAGTCGTAGTTCTTGGTGTCTACAGGAGCCCTAGTTATGCTTGCGATGAGTTTTTTGAGCTCTTAGGAGAATGTCTTGATTTTATTCTTCAAAATGCATGCAAGATTGTTGTCCTGGGTGATTTCAATATTAATATTCTGAGTGACGGATTTTCGAGCACAAGCTTTCTGCACATAATGCGATCATACGGCCTGCATCATAAAATATCATCATATACAAGGGAGTTTAAGAACTCTAAGACGGTCATTGACAATATCTTCACAAACATTGACTCCCAGTTAATTAGTTGTAGGGTTGTTAAGGCCGCCTTGTCAGATCACCATGGCCAAGAAGCCGTAATTAATCTATCTCCTTCACCTCCACCATCTGGACCTTTGTTTATTCAATGTCGTATATTTAATTTGGAAAATATTGGTTGTTTTAGGCATCATTTAAATAAGGAAACCTGGACTGGCATGCTAGATCAACAGAGTACAGATAAAAAATTCAGTGAATTTCTTCAAACCATAAAATACTGTATCGATATATCCTTTCCTATAACGAAAACAAAAGTCCATCGTCATAAGTCTTCAAATAAACCAGTCATCACGCCAGAGATATTGAACCTTAAAAAGCAACTGCAGTTTCTTTACTCATTGTCAAAGGATCTTGATTCGTCACACCCTATCCGCTTGAAGTACAGAGATATGAAAAGAAACTTCAAAATGGCTGTCCGTAAAGCAAAATCAGACAAAATCCTTAGTAAGATATCTGAGTCATCGAACAAATCAAAGACAATATGGGGAATCATAAATGACACCAAAGGTCCTAAATTAAAGGACAACTTCGACATTTCATTGGTTGACAAAGATGGCGGTACAGTAGGAGATCCAGGGACAGTCGCTGGAATCTTTAATAAATTCTTCTCTGATATCGGGACTGAATTTCACACTGAAAGTGACTGTATAGATAGGGTGAACTCGCTGTCAGAGTCTCTCAATTTTGTAAGCAATTCTCTATTTTTGTCCCCTGTCACCAAACCCGAGGTAGAAGAAGTCATACTTTCACTCAAACCAAAACCATCGAGTGGGTCAGATGAAATTTCTTCTCGACTTCTTAGAGAAACATATGATCTAGTTTCTGCTCCATTGGTCCATCTGATAAATTGTTCTTTTGAAGAGGGATGCTTTCCATCTTCCCTAAAACATGCCATTGTTAGGCCTATTCATAAGAATGGAAGCAAATTTGATTGTAACAACTATCGGCCAATTTCCTTAATTTCAACTTTCTCCAAGGTTTTCGAATGTCTTTTTCTGAACAGACTCTTGTCATTTTTGGAGGAAAATAATATCTTGTCTTCCCACCAGTTTGGGTTTATAAAGGGAAAATCGACCCTCGACGCAGTCAATCATGTTGTATCATTCTTGTCAGGAGCCCTAGATTCTGGAGACGCTGCACTGGGAATAAATTTTGACCTGTCTAAAGCATTTGATATGGTTGATCACCCTACTCTTCTGGAAAAGCTTTACCGTCTTGGAGTACGGGGCTTAGCTCACGAATGGGTGTCATCCTTTCTTCGAGGAAGAACTCAATCAGTCCGGATACCCTTTGTTGACTCCCAAGGAATTCGTAATCATGCTACCTCTGCTTCGTCTGTTGTTATTCGGGGTGTTCCCCAGGGTTCTATCATCGGCCCAATCCTGTTTTTGCTCTTCATTAATGACCTGCCTTCTTTTGTATCAAATA